TTTCGGTACCGGTACTAGTTTTATTTTGTTGTATTTATCCGCGACACCTTAAAGGCCGGTCCATGAAAATATTGTCGGGCATAAACCCTTCCATGGCGCAAAAAAGGTTGCTGACCGCTGCTCTTAATTGTTGTGACACGTGTTCGAAATGCAGAGAGGTGCGCTCGATTTGCCACACGGAGCAGCGCGAGAGTAAAGCACGAGGGAGGGGCTAATAATCGGCTCAGTCATTTTTAATGATCGTTGAAAGCCCAGATCCTAATCGTGATTAAAATTCGAATAATTGAGCAGCCCTACTCACAGTTACAAAAAATACTCAATTAAATACAGGCAGCAGCAACACACATGCAAAAATAAATGAAAAATACAAAATAAAATTCTGTTAAAATGACAAACAATCTAATTGAAACAGTTGCATGTTATGGACTTGGCCTCAAGGATTCTTAGTTTCATTTTAAAAGCACTTAATGAAATGAATTCTGTCATTTTCCAGTCGTTCTGCAGTTCGTTCCAAGCCGAGGGTGCTAAATGGATTCAGTTCAGGCAAATGGAACAGGAAGTAACAAGTGACCTTGCGGACGAAGAGGATAATGACCAGCATGTTTCACTGCAAGCAGGGAACATATATAGGAAGGCAGCAATCGAAGTATTGCCTTGTATATAAAACTGTATAGCACCTGAACTCATATCATTAGTATGACCATCCTGCAGTTTGGCATTGTCTTGCTGAAAAGGCAAGGCCTTACCTGAAACATAAACACCCGGATTGTGAACACATTTTAAAATGCTTCCTTTCTTTTTGGCATTTCAGGACAGAGTCTGGGCTACGGTTTTGTCAACTACATTGATCCAAAGGATGCAGAGAAAGCCATCAACACGTTAAATGGACTCAGACTTCAGACCAAAACAATCAAGGTAAATCACACCGTGCATGCCTATGACGCAGTCTGTTACATAACGACCAGACAAGCAATTAAAGTAAGAAAAGTGTTCTTTGGACAAAAAGATTTCAGTAATTTAAAGTTGTGGAGGTCGTGTTAAACTTAAATTATAGGACTTCCTTCTAATTTCTGAGAGCCCTTTTAGATACTGATGCTGTTAGCGGATGTGCTGGAGGGTGAGATGGGATTAACATCAATGAGCGTCAGAAATGAAAAAGACCATCTAAATCAAAGAGACACATTAAAAAAAAAAGCTTGTGACTATGGTTGATATGCTAATTGCTTTTTAAATGTCAGAATGTAAAGGTGAAATTATAGTTATCTCTGAATAAAAGGGAAGAAACACATCAATCATCATATTGTCCAAAATAATTGAGGGCTCTGTTATTGCATTCTAAATGGCAAGACTAATCTGCAGGCTCGATGGTGGTTGTCACAGCAGTAATATCAGCCTCAGCACTGCGCTGTCCTTCCTCCAAACACATGTTAAAGAACCCTCACAAGTAATAGTTTGAGCAGATGTTTTACAGTGTATCAATCCTCCTGTTAATCTAATTTTCTCCCCTCATATTCTCTGCTGTCATCCTCTGTGCTCTGTGCCTGCTGATATGTTGTTTTAAGCTGGGCAGTAATCTGTTGCTCTGTGGTAATCCCTGGATTCTTTCTTTCTGTCATCCGATCTAATCTAGTCTAATCTAATCTAATAGGATGGGATTAGCCTGTTTGCAAATAGGGAATCCCACGGGGAATCCCTCCATTCCCTGGACAGCATAAACTGTCTGGCTTGGTATCGAATTTAAAAAATAAAAGCCTCATATATATTTTGTGCGTGATGTCTAGAATGTGGATTTTATAGAGTAAATGTGTCGTATTAGTGAATATATATGTAAAGATGAGATGTTTACGGGTTGATGTGTCCACGTCTGTATTTTTGCGTGTGTTCCACATGAGCTACCTACCTAAAAACCAGAGTGCAAGCTTGTGTGTGCGACTGCACAAATCCCCATCAGAGGAGGAGCACCGCCCTTCAAAGTGGCTTTCACTATCAGCTAGTCCAAACAGTTGCTAAACTGCTTGTTTTTGAGTTGTTACTTTATTGTAAATCCCTTATTTCTTTCGCTTTTTTTCCTCCCTAGCTTCGTTGCGTATTAGCTCTTTTTAAGGTTCATCCAGCGCTGTTTTGTAAAAGTAGGAATAAATATTCAAATCATTTGTTAAGTAAGAGGATCTTTAAATATTTTAAAAGATTTTTAAAAGGAATTTGCATGCCTTTTAAAAATGCATGCAT